ATAATACCTGCAGTCAGTCAGCAGCCTCATTGTCCTCTACTGGAAGAGAAGCCACAGTGTGTGTTTGTGTAAAGAAAACTCTACAAGTTTAAAAGTAAAACATACTTTTTTTATAAGACAGCACAGGGACAGGGATGTGATGATTTTCTTAACCTAACTTAACACACATCTTGAGAAAGAAAACTACTGTCTGAAACCAGTTGAGTGGGATTTTCTACTGGGAGAGAATCCAGGGTATTAACAGTAACACATAGTTTATGTTTATAAGGTAGATCTGGAACTGAGCTGTGTTGATTTTCTTCATTTTGACACAAGTTGAGAAAGAAAACTCTACAGGTGTAAAACCTATTTGGTGAGATTTCCTACACATGTAAGTCTTCAGATCTTCCTCAGAGGGTGGAGACTAATCACTTATGAAGACTCACTTCTCCTGGAGGCGCTGTAGGTTCCATCTCTGGACAGTTTGCACTCTATTTCCTCGTAGACGGCATCATGACAGGGGGCCAGTGCTCCCTTAGATAGGGCTATGTGAAGAAACAGACACTCAGGGCTATTATGCAGGGAGAGGCGCACAATAAATCAGTTCCCTTCTGAAGTATTTTATATTTGACCTTTTGCGCATTTAAAGGTTTTAAACAAATCAGCAAAGTTGCATCTGTTTTTGAGGAGAATCTGTTCTAAAATTCTACTAGATTTCTTTACCCAGTTAAAACTGGTTCTATCCAATACTGTATACCAAGAAGGAACTTCTACTTTGAAACACCTTGGCTCATCACCATCAGTTTTGTCTTTGAAGTTCCATATAGAAATCTCAGCTCTGTGTGATTGACAGTAATGACCACTAGAGGTCACTATGTGGATGGTGAGTTTCCTCCCTACCTTTCCTAAGCTTCCTGTTCTGGATCAGCTGCCCCACTAACAGGGCCAGTGCCACGAAGAGCAGAGCTCCCAGCAGCAGGAGGACCAGAGGCGAGATGGACAGGCCTCCCAACGGCTGTGTCTGGGGTGTTGTCCTGGTGCTGCCTGAGAGAGAGGGAGACAGGGGGTGAACAGGGATCAGGAGATGTTCTCTAGAGCTCATACAGGCTTTGACACATAAAATGTCCTTCTCCCTGCGTTTCCCTTCAGGAGGTGGAAGGGAACCCAATGTTAACCCAATATCAACAAAATAGTAAAAGCTCCCACATCAAGACTGTTAGAAAATCACTGAGGGAGAAGAGGAGAGACTACAGCAACAATGGGAATCTGAGAAAGACTGGAGCCTTCAATGATAGTAATAATAATAATAATAATTATAATAAACTTTATTTTATATAGCGCCTTTAAAGGTGGCTTCTCAAAGCGTTTAACAGAATGACAACAACAATAAATAAAAAGAATACACAAGATAAAACACAATTACAATATACAGAGGAGACCGTGGATGGTGGTACTAAGAAAAGCAGAGGGGTGAAGAATGGATCCCAGTTAAGTAAAGGCTTTTCTGAAGAAGGGGGTTTGAGTCTGGATTTAAAGGAGTTTAGAGAAGAGTTCCAGAGCTTGGGGGCATAACAGGAGAAGTAGTTCAGATGGGTGGCTGGGTCAGCATGCGTAGGCTGCAAAGGAACAAGAAACAAGTTTATTCCATGCTGAAAAAAAGAAGAAAGTAAACACAATGTTTTGACCGTGGAGCCTTCTTCAGGTGTGAGCAGGTGTGACACCTCACACCTGAAGAAGGCCGAAACGTTGTGTTTTCTTTCTTCTTTTTTCAGCATGGAATAAACCTATTACTTGTTCCATAACAAGAGAAGGCCCTGTCACCCAAACAATGTGACAATGATGAGGAGCATTCTTATTCTACTAGCGCTGTTGTCGGACTGGCTATAGAAACCCTCATCATCTTGCTTTTAGTTGCAAAGTATGTCAAACCCACAGCTGTCTATAGCTGTCTGAATGAATAAAATACCTCTACTTGAATCCCTAGAGGGAAAATCATAATTTCAGAGGTAAAAGCCATCATGTCCTGATTCAGATACTAATGTTGTTTACACAAACCAAAAACCTGTGACTGATGATCTTCGCTTATTCAGTCAGAGTGTAACTAGTGATGGAAGATATATACAGTAAAATCAGTGTATCTTCTCCAGGGATCTGATATCTTCTTTATCTACAGTACTAAGACTCCTCTCACCTGTACAGATAACCCCTGCATCCTCCTTGTGCACACAGTCGCTCTGATTCAGTCCAGAGTGACAGCAGTCCCACAGGTGGAGCTCACTGCTTGTACAGTTCACCTCATCCAGCCAGATGGTGCCGTTCCCTCTTCCAAATGAGGAGTTTCCTATTGCACTCACTGCATCCCCACAGCCCAGCTGTCTGCAGACCACCTGGGCATCCTGCAGGTCCCAGGAGTCATCACAGACTGTCCCCCAGGAGCCCTCGTACCGCAGCTCCACCCTGCCTGAGCAGTTTGTGTCTCCTGCCAGTCGTAGAGCCAGGGGGACTGAAAGAGAACAGGGAGGTTAGAGGATCGGTTCGGCTCAGAGGTTCTGGATGAGAAGTTAGTGGCAGATTTGGAGTGCATGACATCACCAGTTCATATTACTGAAAACAAATGAGACCTTAAATAATGTCTGTTATTGTTGAGTGTCCTCAACTGTCCTCAACTCAGTGACTAGATGAGAGAAGTGAAGGTACTGAGTGTCCTTAGCTTAGTGACTCTAGAAGAGAGCAGTGAGGTTACTGAGTGTCCTCAGCTCAGTGACTAGAAGAGAGAAGTGAGGTTCTGAGTGTCCTCAGGCTACTGACTCTGTGTGACTGGCAGTTGTACACAGTGAGCTCACCTGGACAGTACTGTTGAGGTTTCTCTTCCTGTGGTGATGGCTTGAGACCATTGTCTCTCTTTGGACCTATCAAGAAATGTTCATTTTTCAAAAAGTCTCATATAATTAATGATGCCCTAAAATTGACCGAATTGAGGAAATGTATCCTAATTAAGGTAAATTATTTTGTCTGCTGTTTTACAACATGGTTGTGACGATATTCTGGTCAGTATCCAGAGGTCAACTCATCCTGCAATATCCTGCAGATGTGACTCAGCTCCAGTGTCCACTGTGTGCAGTGATTAAAGAGAACATTATTGACACTGTAGTTCAGGTGGGTAGCTGTGTCAGCATGCGTAGGCAGCATGCCCACACCTGAAGAAGGCTCCACGGCCGAAACGTTGTGTTTTCTCTTTTCTTTTTTTCAGCATGGAATAAACCTATTACTTGTTCCATTATTGATACAGTTGTTGCACTCATTATTTCCTGTAGGTGTCTCTCAGGAATAGAGACATACTGTATGTAATTTATAGAATCTGATTTCCATTGCTTCTACTGCTAATAATAATGAAGTGAACCTTACCAGAACAGGTGATCTCAGTGCCTTCAGTGCTCCAGCACTCATTCTGACCCCAGGGTGAAGAGGGACACTGCCACAGTGTGGAATCGTGCTTTCGACAGTGAATGTTATCCAGCCACCGGGGGGCAGCATTCAGCCTGGACACTGTCTCTTTAAAGTTACCCTGGTCTCCACAGCCCAACTGAGTACAGATTACTTTAGCTGTGGTGTCTGTCATGTTGTTGGCACAGATGCTGCCCCAGGTGCCATTGTAGTAAACCTCTGCCTGTCCTGAACAGCCTGCAGATAGCCTCAGCTGCTTGTGCTCTGCGAATGAAACAGGAAACTGTCAGAGCAACTGAACTATTATGTATGAAAGACTGTTGCCCATTCACAGAACACTGAGAGCACAGCACAGACTGAATATAAGAAAGATTACAGATTCAGCTATCCTGATACCTGAATCCTCAAAAACTTAATTTTCCATTAGCGTCCTCATGACTTTGAGTTGTTAATTTTAACTTTGACCCTTTAGAACAGTGGTTCTCAAACTATGGTATGCGGAGTGCCGCTAAGTGGTATGCAATATGACCCTGGAACTTTGTTGTGTGCCCTGAAAAAATGGGACGTGTTTTTCTATTTTAATAAAATAAGTTTGTGTCAAATACGCAACCTACGTACTACTATTCAGTGCACGCTAATACTTGAGTGGACACAAGAGCTACAATGTAATTCTATGCCATTCTATGGTAATGCATGCTACTAATGTAAGTGACCAATTGTATTTAAAAAAGTTATCTCCAGCAACTACCGAGGTAGGAGAATGTGCATGATTTTGGAATAATGCCAATGTTGTAAGCACAGGAAAGCATAGAAATTCATTCTACGAACGCTGACAATCTTGTGAGCACAGGAAAGCATGATAGATAACAGAAAAAGATTTAAGAACTGTATGAAAGATAGTTGTTTAACATCCTTTCATGGAACACTGACAGCACAGCACAGACTAAATATGAGAAAGGTTACGAATTCAGCTATTCCTGATCCCTGAATGCTCATAAACGTATTTTCCATTAGTGTGCTCAGGACCTTGAGTTGTTTTGACAGCTCAGCATATTCAATGTATGAATCAAGCCTCCATGCATATTAATACAGTGCAGAGAAAAAAAGCTTGTGATTATGGGAATTAACAATGTCTTACCATTATATTTTTTTTATTTGAAACTGTTCATTGCTATTTTTTCTACAACCATAATGTTTAGATTTATCAGTTGATTTCTTTTAGATAAAATGGTGCAAAACATAGAAAACAGTGAATAATTAAGCATCATCACCTGTGAAATTAGTGATCCATCAGTTTAGTTTATTTTAATTAAAGGAATAATTAGATTGTTAAATAATTCGGTAACAAGTAAACAAGCATTTATATTGGACAGGACTGTCCAAACTGCTGGAGAAGAGTAGTTGCTTATCAGTCTGAACATGGTTGCAAAACCATTTCTAATCATATGGGGCAAATATTTATGTCAATGGAGACTCTACCCAGGAGCTAACAAGATAACCCCAAGAGCATCCCAGAATATCACCCAGGATGTTTTTTACTCAAAGAACTCTAGAGAAGTATTTGAGAATCTGTGGTCCTCACTCTCCGTGTGTTAGTTGCTTGACCTTCAAGAAAATTCCTAACAGCAATGGTTTTCATGCAAGTATAGCCAGGAAGAAAACATCCATCCATCCATTTTACAGATGTTTCCAACTCAGGGTTGCAGGGTGCTGGATTCTTACTGCAAGACAAAGTAAACCCGGAATGGGACACCAGTCCATCCCAGGTCAAGGCAAAAAACCTTTCTCTCCCAAAATAATGGTGCCTCTCATCTCAAGTTCACCAATGAGCACCTGGATGATCCACAAGACTCCTGGAAGTATATTGTCTGCAGAGATAGGTCAAAAGCTGAACTTTATGGACACATTGATAAATGTTCTGTGGTTTTCATTTGTGTCAAGAATGTCAGGCCATGTTGACTGACTGAAGCTGAGTAGAAATGGGTCATGCACTAGGACAGGTATGCTAAACATACAAGCAGATCTACAACAGAGTGGCTAAAGAAGAACTGCCATGTTTCAGATTGGTCAAGTCAAAGTCTGGATGTAAATCTTTTTGAAATGCTATGGCAGGACCTGTATTGAGCTATTCAAGCAAGACAACTCTCATATGTCACCAGTTTGCCTAACAGTCAATGAAAGAGACTGATATAGACAGACCATGTCACTCTGCAACTCACAACTAGCAACCCACTGAAGCTAAGCAGCTGTGAGCCTGGTCAGTACCTGGATCGGAGACCTCCTGGGAAAAACTAAGGTTACTGCTTAAAGAGGTGTTAGTGGGGCCAGCAGGGGGTGCTCACTCTGTGGTCCATGTGGGCCGTAATGCCCCAGTGTAGTGATGGGGACACTATACTGTAAAACAGGTGCCATCCTTTGGATGAGATGTAAAACTGAGGTCCTGACTCTCTGTGGTCAATAAAAATCCCAGGGTGTTTCTTGAAAAGAGTAGGGGTGTAGCCCTGGTGTCCTGGACAAATTTCCTGTTGGCCCTTACCAATCATGGCCTCCTAATAATCCCCATCTATGAATTGGTTTCATTACTCTGCTTTCCTCCCCACTAAAAGGTGATGTGTGGCGAGCGTTCTGGTGCACTATGGCTGCCGTTGCATCAACCAGGTGGGGCTGCACATTGGTGGTGGTGGTGGGGAGTCCCCATTACCTGTAAAGCATTTTGAGTGGAGTGTCCATAAAAGTGCTAAATATTGTAAGTGAAATGAATTATTATTATATTGGGAAAACTAGGAAATCAGGAAATATGCAATCACAAATGTCTTCACATTCGGATCTTTACTATTGGATCATTTTGTTAAATAATTCAGTTATTTTATATGTCTATGTTAACTTTTTGTTAACATTTTTATCTGTACGCCTCCAGCCATTTTCATTTTTCATTACATAGAGAAATCAGTATCTTTGCTTATAAGTCCTTACAATAAGACTATGGATTTAATCTGATGTCTATCAGACACCTCCAACCTCCCAGGGTCACACAGTCACAAACCAGAATCCCAGGCTGCAACAACACTCGTGAGTGATTTTGGGAAAATTGAGAGCTACATTACTATCTGGCAAGTTATATTGGACCCTTATGTCATCAGAATCTCATCTCCTTGTTGGAATAAACCAATTAGGTATTATGTACCTGAGCACAGGACTGTCACATCTTCTTTGTGACCACAGTCATGCTGTCCCCACCCTGCTGATGGACACTCCCACAAAGACGACTCGTTCCCCAGACAGTCCATCTTGTCCAGCCAGATGGGTCCAGTTCCCTGGCTGACGGAGGCTGGTACTGGGGCACTGAGGGCCGTCCCACACTGGAGCTGCCTGCACACCACCTGAGAGTCTGCCAGGTCCCAAGAGTCGTCGCAGACTGTCCCCCAGGAGCCATTGTGATAAACCTCCAGCCTCCCAGCACAATCATCTCCTCCCTCAACCAGCCTGAGGGAGTGCTGAGCTAGGAGAGAGATGGTATCTAGTGATACAGACACATATTTGTAAACATGACTGACACATATGTTTCCTGTTTTCACAATATGTACCAAAGGATCACACACAACTAAACACTTGCTCTCCAATAACTTAATAAGAACTAATGAAAAAAAAATCAAACAGATTCAATTGCTCTTACCTGAGCAGAGCAGGGCCACATCCTGTCCAATGTTGCAGCTGACTGTCTGTGGAGAATTGCAGTTCACCAGGTGAGACTCGGCCCCAGAACAATGAATACCTGTCGGACACATAGCACTGTCACTGCCCCATACAGAGAGGAGTTATAGTCTTGTACTGCAAAGCACCAAATACCTGTCAGACACAGAGCACTGTCACTGTCCCATACAGAGAGGAGTTATAGACTTGAACTTCACAACACTGTCGCTGTCCCATACAGAGAGGAGTTATAGGCTTGTCCTACAGAGCACTGAATACCTGTCAGACACACAGCACTGTTGCCTGTCTCATACACAGAGGAGTTGTATATTTGCACCACTGAGCCACAGCCCAGCTGTCTGCAGACCACAGAGGCCTCTCTGTAGCCCCAGGAGTGCTGGAGGAGTCTCCCCCAGGTGCTGTTGTAGTAAACCTCCACCTGGCCATCACAGTGACTCTCTCCTCCTGACAGCCGGACTCCACCGTCTAGAGCTGACAGGGATGAATCTAAAAAAATGATTAATTATCACATTTTATTGTCAGTTAGACATCAGTACCATACCATAAAAGGGTTATCAGGAACAACATTGTTTTTTGTAAATTTATCATGACAATCTTTTAATTACAAGAATATATTGTTTTACACATATTTATAATAATGTTCAAAATGGTTTAAGGTGTTTGGTAGGATATCAAATTCTAATTTCACACTTTCTTTATTTTTAGTATAAATACTGGCTGGCTGCCTTCTTCATTTCTAGCTCCACGCCCCCCATTCACCTCGACTGCAACCTTGCGGCAGCTCCCTGGCTCATTCCTTGTGAATAAGTATTGTGGCAGGCACCCACAGAACAGCATGTAGCAGTGAATAGGGCAAGGCATGGAGACAACAGATGAATAGGGAAGGAATGGATAGAATGGAGGGCAGGATGGAGAGTGGTCTTAGGAACATGGTTGTGGTGGACCTCTTTGGAGATGAGAGAGGACTATGGGAATAGAGGCTGATTGAGAGGTGATCATGGTGGTGTTGGAGCTCTGTGGATGCCAGGGCAGTTTGAAAAGGGAGGGATGCTTGGTGATTCCAGTGGGAGGACTGCTTTCAATGGCTGACTTGGGAACTGTAAATGGCTTAGGCTGCCTCATGAGAATGTGGGAGGGATTCAGATTTGACCACCTACCAATCTTTTATTTAAAGCTTTATTCTGAAAATGTAAAAATGTGTTAGTTCTTACTAGAACAAATTACTCCAACATCCTGCTTGTGAGAGCAACCAGCTCTGCCCCATGAAGAGACAGCACACTGAGAGAGATGGGTTTCATTGCCCTGGCAATCAAACACATCAACCCCCGTTGATCCATTGCCCTGTCCAAACCAGGCCTGTCCTGGTGCTGCTACAGCCTCCCCACAGCCCAGCTGCTGGCAGAGAACAGTGGCATCTCTCAGGTCCCAGTACTGGTCACACACTGTCCTGTCTTCACCGTGGTACTGCAGCTCCACCCGGCCGGAACAGGAGTCAGGGCCGCCCACCAGCCTGTAGCCACTGTATTCTGAAGAGAGGACAGGTAAGTCAGGAGCCGTAGAGCATTAACACCACTCTAGTATTTATATAAAGGACAGGGGAATCAGCTGTACAGCATTAACATCACTATAGTCTTTATACAAGGGACAGAGGAGTCAGGAACTGTACAGTATGAACACCCTCTTCTCTTTATACAGAGAGTCAGGGGAGTACTGTATGAATGCAGTGTTATAATGGTTGATTTTACAGTGTGTTCATTGTACAATAACTGTTCATAGTTACACTGATTAATTGAATATTTAACTTCAGTACACAATAGTAATTATCAGTCATATTGTGAGAAACAAAGATGAATTATGTAATGTGGAAATCACATGACCACAAGACCACTGCTTGCTGCAGCTCACTGACTGATCCAAAGATATTAGTTTGGGGTGCTATATATGGTGTTCCGAAATGCAAAAGACAAGCAGACAGGGAAGTCAGGAGCCATAAGCATTAATCACTCTAGTCTTTATACAAAGGACATGGGAGTCAGGAGCTGTACAGCATGAACACACTGTTAAAATGGTTGATTTTAAAATGTGTTCCTTGTACAATACCTTGCCACACTTTTACATACTTTGAATATTTAACATCAATACATAAGAGTAATCATCTTTCTCACTGTGACAAACAAAAACAAATCAAGCAATGATTCAGGGAGGCTCTGAGTGAGATACTGAAGTGTTTATACAGCTGGGGATCAGTACAGACAGTAATGCTCTCACCTGTACAGACCAGGCTGATGTCATTGCTGTGAGTGCAGCTCAGAGTGAGATACAGAAGTATTTACACAGCTCGGGATCAGTACAGACAGCAGTGCTCTCACCTGTACAAACCAGGCTGATGTCATTGCTGTGAGTGCAGCTCTGGTGCTCCCTGGTTGAGGTGGGACAATCATGGATTCTGGTCTCATTTCCCTGACACTGGATCTCCTCTGTCCTGATCACCCCCTGCCCCTTTCCGAATTGAGCCCCTCTCAGTAGCTCTGCTGGAAATCCGCAGTCTAGTTGGTGGCACACGACCTCCGCGTCCTTCGTGTCAAAGTCGGCCTCACAGATCGTACCCCAGGATGAGCCATGTAGAACCTCGACTCTGCCAGAGCAGAGACTCCTGCCCCCTGCTAACCGCACTCCTGTACCTGAAGAGAAGTTGACACTTCATTTTCATGAACTGAGGTTCTTATGAGCTCCCTTTCTTTCTAGTCTTTACTGAATTGAAAGCACCAGAGTGAACTCTTTGTGTGTTTAATGTGTCTGCCCTGGCATAACTGTGTTGCCTGCTAGTTGTCACCTCAGTCTAGATTTACAGTCCCACATCCATCTTATCTGTGTCCCGTACAATAGACTTGGCACAGGTATACACAACGCATCTGGCAGTTTGTAGCGGTATTAGAGCACATTAACAGTGTGCTTAACATCATACTGTAAATGTAAAGAGATAACTATGTGTAGAGTTTCTATAGCACTTCTAAATGCTCGGACACATAAACTGTTAAATTCAACTCAGTTTTTAATTTTAGATAATTTTATATAAGCAGGTCAGTATAGTCAATATATAAGTATAAAAATGTTTATTATTAGATTCATTATATTAATTGTTTATAAGTGTAATAGAGAGAGGGAGTTGTAACACTAGAGAACAAGACTTATTGAAAAATGAAAGGGATTGATCATTTACATGGTTTGGTAGACAGACTGGATATTTAATACACTTCTCTGAAACCTTTGACATACAGATCCAGGGTCTGGGATTCTGAAGTGTTCAGTTCAGATTGGTTCGTGTGGTTCATTTTTCTGTCTTATGATTTGAAATTCTGGGCTATCTCATGTCTGAAAGTTGAGTGTAAAACTGTCACCTGCCTCCTGACAGACAGCACACAGCAGACAGGAGGGGTTTGTCCTCCCATTGCTCTCAGACAGATTCTCCTGTCTGTATTTGTACCTCTGATCTCCACACAGGTAGAAAGATATTCAGTGACAGGGAGGAGTGATGTCACAGCTCTAGGCAGGACAGGAGCAGTGGGAATGGGAAGATGGACAGATGGATCATGATGATGGACTCTAGATCAGTGGAGTTTTAATTCTCCTCAGTGCTGCAGACTGGAGAGACTCTGTGTCTCCTACCTGAACAGATCACTCCAGCATCATAGACATGAAAGTAGCCATATTGTTTCACTTCACGTTTTGTACAGTCCCTCAGCACAGACTCTGACCCTCTGCACTCGACCCAGCTCAGCAGGACTGATCCAGCCCCTGGTCCAAAGTGAGTATCTCCTGGTGCTGAAACAGCAGATCCACAGCCCAGCTGCCTGAACACCACTGCAGCATCATCAAGACCCCAGCCAAGGTCATAAACTGTCCCCCACTCTCCACCATGATACACCTCCACTGTCCCCTCACAGGGACTGGCACCATTCACCAGCCTCACATCAGCGCTGCCTGTAGAGAGTGGAGAAAGATAATACTTATTACCTTGTATACAGCATACTTTTATATTTATACATATAAAGAAATACACCAGATATTTATATTTTCTTACAAGTCTGTCTGGATTGCTAATCCCTCCCACGGGGAAGTAGAAGCACTGAATGCTACAATAAGTCCATTATTAGTCATCTTACCTCTCGCTCCACACACCTGTGTTCACATACTGACTGTGTGTGAGATACTGGAAAGTCTAGCAGCAGATTGACTGTGTGTGAGATATTGGAGAGTCTACCAACACAGTGACTGTGTGTAAGATATTGGAGAGTCTAACAGCACAG